AGTGCTTCAGAAGACACACTTGCAGATAATGACGAAGAGTTAGTTAGCACCGATAGTGCATCATTTATTCGAAATGTTTTAGGTTCAGAATTTGAAATCTATGATGGTGATTTGCCCTTAATCACCACTCCAATTGAGATTGAGGTGGGCACTCGGTTTGTTTCCATGTCAGTTGTGGTTCATTATGTAGAGCAATATGCTTTACAGAACCATTTCTCCATTTTTAAACACAAATGTAAAACGTTCTCAGATGGCAGTTGCAGAAAAAGAGTTTTTAAATGTGATAGAGGTGGAAGATATAATGAGCGGCTTTCAAGACCAACACTAGGAAAGTGAAAAAACAAAGGAAGTAAAAAGCAAGAATGCACATGGCAAGTAAATATAACACGGTCATTAAACTCTCCAATAGCAACTATAACATTGTTTAATAATAAATATAATCATCAAATTAATGTTGAAACTATGAAGTTCGCTGCTGCTTACAAAAGTTTTTCTCAAGAAATTATGGAACAAATCGAGTATTATGTTATATATGGTCAGTGTGATATAGCAACGATTAGGAATCTTCTTCAGCCGAAGTATCCGGATCATGTCTTTCTTACTCAAGATCTTGGAAATGCCATTCAAAAAATCAAGCAGGAAAAAGGGATAAACTTAAGTGATGCATCATCTTTATTGACCAAACTTTTAGAGTTTCAAGCTAATGATTCACAATGGTTTGTAAAACCATTAATAGATGATAATCATCTAATTGGTATTTTTTGGATGTCTCCAAAACAATGCAAAAGATGGTCCAAGTTTTATAACATAATTATTCATGACAATACTGCCTGAACCAATAAATATAACTATCCATTGAGTCTTTTTATCTTAATTGACAATCATAACAGAAGTAGGTTAGCAGCACAGGCATTTATACAGGATGAAAGACAAGAATTATATGAATGGTTGCTTCAATGTTGTTTAGAAGCATGTGAGATTCCTCTATTAACGTTTGTTACAGACGCAGATCCTGCAATGATTGCGGCAATTTCTATCATATTTCTCAAAACTCGCCATATGCAATGCTTATATCACCTTTATCAAAATATTTCAAAGAACTTTCGTTCATGTTTAGGATCATTTTACCATGATTTCCTTAAGGATTTTAAAAATATTCAGCGTTCTCACTGTGAAGAAGTATTTAAACAGAGAATTCAAGGTCTAATTAAAAAATACAAAGCAGTGGAAAAATATATAACAATGTTATTAGATCGAAAATATACATGGGTAAAGTGCTTCACATCTTGCTGCTTTACAGCAGGAACACAATCAACACAACGTGTCGAATCAGAGAATGAATTAATTAAAAAGGCTATACAGTCAAGCTCTTCTTTTTTGGAAGTTCAAGAAGCTCTGGAAAATCGACTTGAATTTGAGTCGATTAATAATCGCTATTCAATTTGGAAATCATCAACATTACAGTATACTCAACCATTTATTATACAAACATTTTTTACCAGTATTGATCATATAATGAAAAAATTTCTTACTCAACCAATTCATGATGCACATTATAAGCAAATGTGTCAATCCGTATGTTACCTTGCATGTCAAGTATCTATGTCAGAAATTTTATTATCTAATGATGATTTGTTTGAACCATTTTTTGAAAAAGAACCGGATGATAATTTAGATATTCTACTTGAAGCAGATAAAGATCGAGAACTTAATTTACAATCTTTAATTTCAATGGTTAACCACAATGAGATTTTAGAAATTTGGAAAGTTTCCTGCTATAATCATCCAAAATGCTATCAACATGTAATTTTGCTTAACAATAGTGAACATTTGTGCATGTGCTTTATGCTTATTACACATGGAGTTATATGTCAACATTTTTTAAAAATTTTTACGGTATCTGCTAAAGCGTATTTTCATTTAAAGTTAATTCCTAACCATTGGTACAAGGATGAATATTTTGAATCAGGTGAGAACTACTTTAATGAAATGGCAATAAGCGACTCTAATCATAGTAATACACTAATTATTTCAGAATTTACTCGCAAATATACTATAGCTGATCTTTCAGAAAAGTGCTATAAACAAATATCAAAAAGTTGATTGAAATATGGTGCTCTAATGGGTGAAGCTAAAAAGGCAATCCAATATGCAATACAGGATGGGTGCGATGATTTAATGCAATTTTTGA